AAAGTGTGGATTTTCAGGCCTGGTTGTTCTTGACCTGGGAAGGGAGAGTGGGGGGAGAAATAGTAAGTCATGCAGAATGCATGTTCTGCAGCATCAGCAACAGATGAGAGAGGATATGATTTTAGCTTCAGGGAAGCAGTCAGAACTAGGCTGCCAGCATGTTGCACATTGATTGAATGAAAAGTGTTGGACTGGGGCACTTACCAGAGCCAAGTTGTACTGCAATCTGACCGTGAGTCCAGATACTAAATGTAATGTTATGATGGTGATTTAATAAGTATATGTATTGGCACTGATGCTTTACACGTTTCATATGCTATCACTGAGGCCAGAAAGTTGCTTAAATCAGCTGAGAATTTCTCATGGATTCCAGATGGTTTTGGATGATAGACTCACTGCTTCATTAGTGCATTCTGAGGCTGAGAACTTTCCAAAAGAGTTCAATTTTTTATTTTATTTTTGGTTTATTTATTTTAGTCCTTTCCATATTTTTAATCTTCATAATTGACATTACACAATCAGAATAAAATCTTCTGGAAGGAAGGTTCCACAGGGCATTGTAACAGATGGCAGAGTGCCTGGTTTTCCATGATAATAATAATATGGAAAAGGGAATACTTCTGTTAAAATTCCTTATCACCTCCCTCCTTAAATTTTACAGTGGTCTCTGTCCTCTTAAAACTGTGCTCTGAATATCTCCCTAATGCTTTGGACATGAATTCAGAATAGAAAAATGTAACAAATTGCTTTACCATCCAATCCTTTAATAAATGTATGACATCTAGGTCTTCTCCTTGTGTTGGTTTCTGTCTGTAGGTGATTATCCTACTCACTGGGGAAAAAGAAGATCCATAGTATCAAAATTGTCTGGCACTTTCTCAGTACTAAGAGCTGAAGCAGCACCAGCATTAATACTGTCCTAAATTCAAGAAAAAAAATAGATTCTTGAGATCATAATACAGAGCAAATAGAGGACACTAAAATATGCCTATCTAAAGGAAGACAGAGAAAGCAGATCAAAGCGAGGTAATAACATTGGTGCCTTGTCTGCTTAGTGCAAGATCTAAAAGCACTCATTCCCTTCATGCTGCTTTAAAACAATCTGTTATTAGATAATAGTTACACTTTTTATCCTACGATCAGCCAAGGGCAGCCATCGAGCACCAAACCTGTAAAAGGAAGATTGATAGGAGGGCTATTGTTTGTCCCTCTGTGGGGGGCTTACATAGTAACCAGCTTTGAAACAAACTTATTTGGGTAGTTGTGAGTAAAATAGCATCTGTGCTGCCAGGGAGGTGGCAGTGGCCTGAGCTGGATTAGTCCTGGTTGTGCTGCTCCTGCTGGGTGAGTTTCCCAGCACCCTTTCCACACCGTGTGCACTCGCAGGAGAAGGCTCAGCTTGGATGGTTTGCAGGAGGTTTGTGGAAGGACTGGAATGTGCAAGGGAGCACTACTACAAGGTCTGAAGCTCAGGTCTCTTTTTCCCAATAAAATCTTAAAGTGAAAAATGTTTTATATCTCTTCAATTTAGACCTGTGCCAAAATCCCCTGGTTGCCTTTAGGGGAACTCTCACCACCTGAAAGAGTTCAGAATGGCAGCACTGGTGCCTGAACGCAGTTCTCCTGGGCCAAGCACTTGTCTTTGGGCTCTGCAACTTTACTCCCTCTGCCCCTGTCTTTGGGTGACTGGAAGCCCCAAAGCTGGTTGCAGTTTTCTTTTATGAAGAAGAAAAAAGAAAAAACCTCTGGAGGAAGAACTCATGCACTAGATTTGACAAAGCTTGACAGTGCTTTTTCACTGACATCCAGTGGCATTTCACAGTGTTCCCTGCTGAGAGCTGTCCTCAGGAGAACAATCATTGTGATCCTTGTCCAAACGATCAAGCAATAACATATGCTATGTCTGCTCATCACAAACAGATTAGCTTTAATTTCCCAGTCTGGATGAGGGCACAGGCTATTCAACATGTCTTTGGGTTGCTAATCCTCCAAGAACCTATATATTTCTTTTTCAGTGCTATTGCCATGGAAACTGCAGGTCCAGATTACATCTTTACTGTGCACTCACTTTCATTTTGATCTACAGACATTCTTCAGGTGCCAGGAAGAGGCAAAGGACACATCAGTTTGTTCCTTGAAATAATCTAGTCATACCCTGTGCTCTCCAGCCTCCATTATGTTAGTGTGGCCACTCGCATCCTGTGTCTTCTAGGGCAAGAGACTTGAAACCTGAAGATCTGGCTACCTGCAGCCCTGTTTTCTATGGTAACATTACTCAGCCAAGCTTGAGAGGAGAACACAGCAAATTGCTTCCTTATCTATTTTTCAAGTGGTATCTGTTGCAAGTGGTAGCACAGTGATGTAGAGAGAACAATTACCGTTTGGAGCACAAATCCAGGAAACATACTGCAGATGCACTTAAAACTGCTGAGAACAGGTGTAATCAGGAGGCAAGGAGAATTGCTATTAAAAGCACATTATCAGTGTCAAGAGTGGTGAAGTCTTCAGGTCAGAATCCAGATAATTAAACACTTAAGGGAAGAACATGTCACCACTATGTGTATGGTCTGCACATACCAAACAATGGCCAGAACCATAGGTATTGCTCTTCTCATATTTTGGGCATTCAAGAGCTGTCTTCAATGTGTGAGATCTCAAAATTTGTTTCATTTAGGCGTTCAGCTTTTATAATTTTGTCTCTGATCCTTTTCTAATACAATTCCATTCTGGAGAAGTCTCTCTGTATTCCTGTCTGCCATGCCAATACACATAACTATGGATCATAATAAGTAGTCCTTATATTACATGGGGAAGCACCTTAGCATTACAATTCTTCATTCTTTTTGTGTGTGGAGGGTGTTGAGATTGATTCTCTTTCACTCTGACATGACAGAGTGCAGCACATGCTCTTCTCTATCTCTCCAGAGGTGAGTTAACATTAGTAATACACTGGGTGAGTTTAGTAAGTACAGGAGGTAGTATAACTATATATATATAGTATAATAATAATATGACTTTAAGAGATCTATTTCTAACCTAATTCAGTAACTTACGAGTTCATGAGAGTGATTCATTGGCAGAGGCTGCTGTTGCTGCAGAAATACTGTAAATTGGGCATGGCTGGTTATATGGCTTAATCTGGTAACATTATTTTCTCTGTATCCTCAAGGTGTGTATTCAGAAGAAATGAGGGGAGTTTTTAGTTTTGAAGACTATCATTATCCAGCATGTCTGCATGACTTGCTCACTTCACTGAAGGAGTGCTTTGCTTCAGCCTTTGCTAGTAATAGAGTGTTCATACTACAGGAAAGGTGCTGGGGAGACAAACTTGTATTCCTGTTTCTATCATGGAGTGGGCCAGTTTTCTTGAACAGAAGATACGAGTTACCAAGGGAGGAAAATTGAAGTAAATTCAAAAGCCAGAGAATGAGTATTGGCCTCAATATGTTGATTTATTTATTTCTAAATTGAGGGATTATAAGTCTTTCAGAGGATTTAAGAAAGGCTCTGTGAGTGTTTGCAAAGTATTTTAGAGACAGTAACATGGCAAATTGCACTGCAATGCAAGGAATAATGTCTTTATTTCAGACCACACCTCTGGAGCATTAATACATTTGGTGACAGTCCCATATGACAGCAGTCCATTTAGAGACTATTATAGGTCTCATTCTCCCAGGTGTGTCATTCCTGTGTTCCTCAGGAATTTTAGCTGGAGAACAAGGAAAAGAATTTGCTTATTTTTCCCAGATGCCCCCAGAATGTGTCAGAGCTGGGGTCAGTGTGCCATTTGTTGGCATCCACTCTGTGATGTTGGTGCCTGGAGCACTGTTTGGGTGATGGCTTTTTGTCAGACTCAGGAGTGTGTGAAGGGCTCTACTCTTCACTGGAGTTCATGGCAAGTGCTCAGTCCATCTTATAATAAAAAACATTATTACAATATGTTGTGCCTGCAGATTTGACAGATTATTATGAATGCATCAACATAGTTAAAGACTTAGAAATATTTAAGAAAAAAAAAAGTTTCATTATTCAATATCTGAAAGGAAACCCAGCTTCTTTCCTTTGTTTACCAATAATGTGTAGTTTTAATAAATTGCCTGCCCTGTCACAGTGTGGCAATACAAACCTTGTTTGACATACAGACCTTGTTTGTTATGCTATGGTTGTGCCTTGCACTTAGAGGTTGAGCGTGACATAGAGCATAGAATTATAGAGTTGTAGAATGTCTTGGGTTGGAAGGGGCCTCTAAAGGTCATCTAGTCCAACCCCCCTACAATAAGCAGGGACATCTCTAACTCTCTAACTAGAATAGATTGCTCAGAGCCCTGTCAAGCCTGACCTTGTATGTCTCCAGAGATGGGGCCTCCACACCTCTCTAGGCAACCTATTCCAGTGATCCATCACCCTCATATTAAAGAACTTTTTCCTAATGTCCAACCTAAATCTACCCTTCTCTAGCTTAAAATCATCACCCCTTGTCCTGCTGTTCCATGCCCTTGTGAACAGCTCTTTCCCAGCCTCCTTATAGACTCCTTTCAGGTACTGGAAGGTCGCTATAAGGTCCCCCTGGAGCCTTCTCTTCTTCAGACTGAACAACCCCACCTCCCTCAGCCTGTCTTCATAAGAGATGTGCTCCAGCTCGCAGATCATTTTCATGTCCCTCCTCTGGACATGCTCCAACAGGTCCACATCCTTCTTTTGTTGGAGGCTTCAGGGCTGGATGCAGTACTCCAGGTGAGGTCTCCTCAGCGCAGAGTAGAGGGGCAGCATCACCTCTCTAGATCTGCTGGCCACACTTCTCTTGATACAGCTCAGGATGCCATTTGCCTTCTGGGCTGCAACTGCACATTGGTGGCTCATGTCCAGCTTTTTATCCAATAAATGTAACTACTGTAATGCATGTAACTTATGAGATGGGGTTTTGTTCATCCTTTCAGTTAATTCTGTGTGTTCTTTTTTTTTCCCCTCCCCTTTGTGCTGCACGGCTGATACCACCCTAGGACCTTGCAATGGGACACAGACCCCTCAGTGCTGCAGCTCCAGTCTGACTCTGAACTTGGGTATATGTCAGCTCTTTTTTGTTATTTATCATTTCTTTGCAAGAATGATGTTGAAAATGCTTCCCGGCTGATCTGGGTTTGTGTGATTTAAATTTGCTTTGTTGACTGAAAAAGACCAGAATTTAAGTTTCCTTTTTTTAGTTTGATCAATAAGAAGCTTCAGCAAAAAAAACCAACTACTTAAAGAAGCTTGTCAAAAGATAAGCTGCTATTTCGGTTGCCTGAAACACAATACAAATAACTATTTCATTACAGATGAAATGTTATTATTGTGGCACTTAATGTGCATGTACAGTTGCATTGGTCTTGTTTGTACCTGTTGATTTGGACTTTTCTTTCTGAATCATTTGCAAGGTTACTTTCCCCCCTCCTTCCTGTCTGCCATCCTTATCCTGTTTCCACATGCAGTAACAATTACCCCTTTTTCCTTACAAGCTTTATATGTGCTTAGAATTGTGCACTTAAATATGATCACAGTCCAAGAGTAATTGCCATCTTAGTTGAGTCCAGGCCAATCAAGAATTTTTTAAATTGTACTAGAGATAAAATTAATATTTTTTGGTTTGGGATAGAACTTCTCTGCCCCAAGCATCTGAAAAAAAATAGTTAAATATTTCAGAAATGCCCACCTGCAAAGATATTTAGGGTTCACTGTTCCTCTGAAAAGGACAGGAAGCAGTCCTTCAAGTTCTTCAGAACTCAAGTCACAGGCAAAACTGTATCTCTGTGCTGAAGAAATTGCTCTACCTGTGAACTTTTGGGCTTGCCTATCAGAGTCTACTGGCAAGCTTTTACTAGTTCACATGAAATTCATTCACCATTCTAAAAGAAAAAAACACAGTTTCACTTTAACTACTGATTGACAGCACTGCTAGCTGCAGCTGGGGCTGTTCACCTGGAAGGATGATCAGGAGTTGAAAGCATCCAGAGAGCTTTCTCTACAGGGTTTCTCCAAATCCAGAACTATTAGGAATGTTTGTAATTCCCATTTGAGTATGGTTGAAAATACATCCAGCTTCTACAACATCACCTGGACCATATCAGAAAGGTAGAGTTTCCTGTGCTGGTTTGACATATGGAAACCTTTTGGAAATCTCATCTGCTCTTTCACAAAAGTTTGGATTAAAAATGAGCACTCCCAGGAGCAAGGTTCCTCAAATGGCTGTGCTGAGCAAGGAGGTTTGTTTGACTTACGTAAAGATAATCCTGTGTATAGCCACAAGGCTTCAATATTTTATGAGCAGTCAGTGCAAAGACAGAAAATAAACCAAATAGTAACAATGTAAACTGTCTTCAAAACCAGGATAGAGTTAGAGAGAGAACCAAACTTTTCTCTGGTGTGATGAAACTAGGTAAAAAGAAATGCCAATGCAAAAGAAATCCTACAGTCAGCATGCAAATAATGGGTGCTGATAAATCTTTCTTCTGGCTCCTACAGCGGAATCAATTTTAATGTCCTACTGACATCCCATAGGCAGTTTTGAAAGGAATCCTTCAAAACTTACATGCTCTCTATGATGAATATTCAGCAAACTGTAAATTATAATAGTTCTGAGCACTTCAGATGAAAAATGGGAATAGGAAAACAATAGATAGTTAAGTGGTGCCCTAAAACAAACTAGGGACTAGAACATACAGCCCATATTTGGTAGAGTCTAGATGCTAAAAATGTGCTCTGGTTATCCCTGAGTGCTTGGGACAAGGGGTAGGTTGACTTTTAGTGGCATAAGAACCATTACAGGTTGCTTAACAGGGACAAAAAAGAACTAAGACCACATTCCTTCAGATGAAGAAAGACCACCCTATCTTCACCAGTATTTACGAGGATATAGATTACACTAGACAGTTGTACAGGCTTCAGCAATTTGTGATTTTGAAATGTTTTAGGTGAAAAATTCCACTCACTCTCTCAGCACAGTGCTCTGGGATGTAGCTCACTTCTTGGCTAGCAATCTACAAAGACGCTAACCCAGCCAGCAGTTAAATCCAGGTCTCCAATAAGATCAGTGTTGCCCATCCTCAGGCAGTTGAGATATGGAGTGACCTCACATGAAACTGTTGTTGAAATTAGGTGACGTTCTAATTAGGCCCAGATTTGACAAATCATTAGTTAGATATTATACTTAACCAAGATGACAGTCAAGAAGGTCTTTCAACGCAGAAGGCTTAAGAATCTCAGTAAATGGAACCAGTACCCCAGTGCAGCAACAGAAGACTGCTTACGTAGGAAAGTCTAACTGACCAAGTAGGTCAACAGAAATCTCTTATCTGGTGCTGAAGGAGAGAAAATCACATCAGATTTTGCTGGGATGGGATATTTATCAAAGTTTGGATACACACAAAGCTTCAGTTAAAGCAGCCATGAAAATGTAACACTACTCAAACTTTTCTTAGCTGCAGTGTATCATAGGCTGTAGAAGTTTTTCTGAGCCCACTTAGGATTTTCAGACAATCATATCTTTTGTTCATACTGACAAAGTCACAGATGGTTGTAAGGAGGGAGGCTTGTTATTTTTCCCTGTTGAAAAGAAGACAGACTCAGAGCTGGAAGAACTATTTCAGCTTTAGTGGTTTGTTACGTGATGTGGCTGATTCATACTGATTACCTGCTGAATGTAATTGCATTCAGCTTAATAACTCAGCCAGTAAGATAGATTAGAAAAATACATATCCAAGGTGGCATTAACTAGCTGAAGAGTTCAGTAGGTGTCATCCAATGATGACAATTTCCTTTTGAGACTCCCATTTCCTTTCAGATCAATTTTAATGGAATACCTAAACCAAAAACCTTTGAGTTCTGTGCTTCTGACAATCTGGAAAACAGAGAGGATATGGATAATGTGTATGAATTTACTGCTCTTCCAAATTCCTCTCTCTTACTACATGGCAGTTCAGAACCATCATGTCCATGAATTTTTTTCACATAATCAGCTAAGCATGCTTGCACTTGTAATCTAGGCAGCTGGACTTATTTAGCTGATTTGTTTATTTATGGATATATTCCTTTCTCTGCTAAAAGTTGGCATTTTTTCCAGTAAAACACTTGCAAGTAACTGTTTGTTTATTCTTCCCTCCCTACAGAGAGTGAAATACTACTCAGGAAACAAATTTATTTCCCCAGACACACACACTGTTGAGTGAACTGTGTGTGACTAAAAGTGCTCATGGCCATGTTCAGCTGTCTCTCTTCATTTTCCCTTACTCACTTAGAGTTAGTTGGCTTTACTGATTTATTTCATGTGGTTTATTTAAAGTAGGGGAAGTAGTAGAAAAAGAAAGGTATAACTGTCCTGGTCATCTGCATCTCAGAACTCCACTCCAACCCGTGAGTCTCCTTTATGGATATGACTCACCTTGCCAATTAAAAGCTCTATTATTGCTCTCAGGTGAACATCTGACAGCCCTAATCCAGCCTGGTTTACACCCACTGTGCCTTTTCCACTATTGTGTGCCTCAGGCTGAGGATTAACTCTTTCGAGCAGGCAGAACAGTGTAGTAAGGATGGTATGAAAGGGAATTTTGTTGCAAGTTATGAGGGGTACAAGCAGGTCATCTCTCTCATTTACAGTCCCTCTCAGCTGCATGATCTAGAGGTTCAGGAACTGTATTATGGCAAAGAGTTCCCAGGTCAATTTTCTTCGCTGCAATTAGGTACTTCTCATGCATAGTGTATTGTGTTTCATCTTAGCAAGCACTGAAGATTATTTTAAAATCCTTTTTATATAAGAAAACACTTGTTCCCTCTGCTGGTTTAACCTTTTGATGTCATGTATTCCATCACAGACGCAGACTGCACAAACTAGGGGTGTCAAAGATTACCCAGGTTGATTTCTTACCTCGGGAGGTGGTATCATACTCCAAGGAGACACAGACACCTCTTGCCACACATCAATCTGAAGGTAAGATTTTAACTTTTTTTTTTCAAAATAAACATTTTCATAGAAAGTAAGTACTCAAGTAAGAGTTTAAGAGTCTAACAAAAGTAATACTATATCATAATATAGCTATTTATCACGTATTTTCTGAAAGCCAGGTATTGTTTATGTGATTAATGGCTGTTCTGGTGAGAATAATTATAATAATGACTTTAAATTCAGGTGGAACCAAACTACTTCTGCCTTACAATGGCTTGTGATTAGATTATAATGAGAACCTATTTTCAAATAAATCATTTTGTATATAATTGAAATAGTGCTTTATTCAATTTTTCTTTCTTTCTCAAAGATGTTATGCATTTTTGAGGAGGCATTGATGTGAAGTTGCCCGTAGATATTTGCTCTATGCAGTTGTGTCCCCCTCTGGTAGGTGACTCTTAGGTGAAGTTACAGTTTAGTTCCATGTGCTAAAGAAGGAGCAATGTAAACAGTCTTGTTTTCTCTCTGCTGACAGATTTATTACCTGTATTAGTGGAGCAGTTTAGTGGCTGTTTGGCTTTCCTGTTGATAAATAAATAAATACGTGTAGTAGTTAGTAAGAGACAACTGCTCTTAGACACTCCCCGGGGCCGTACTGCAAAACACTGATTGCAAGCCATTGCAACCATTTCAACTGAGTGTAAAACTGTACATTAGCCTGATGTAATTTATGCACTGTTAGAAAGCAGGTAGAAGAAGAACGGAAGACAATCTAGGCTGTAATTTTTGCTTTTAACAGCAAAGGATCAAGAAAAGTTCAACAGTTGGGTACTCCTGTGCAGCAGATAGCATAGAACTTCATCAGAGCCCACACAGAAGAGGAAGATTTAAGTAGGTTGCTAAAGGTGTGAGAGTAAATCTGTCTAAATAGAAGTTACTGTCAGGAAAGATACAGTGATAAACAGTCAGCTTTTTTTTCTGTAAGTGGGTTACCAGGTCTGCCTTTAAGAAACCAGAAATGAAAACTGCTGACTAGATACTCAGAATCTACTTTCCCAGACCCTAGTCATCTATTGTCTAAAATAGTGCCTTCAAGCATAGACAACCCTGTTGCTTGGATGCTGCTTCTTGAGCAGCATGTCCTGACACCTTTGCTTTCTTAGAGGGAGAGGCTGCCTCAGAAGCCTCCCTAGTTCAATCCAGCTCATCTCTGATCATGTCCCTGAGGGCTGCTGAAGCCTCAAGAAGGTGAAGTTTGCTCCTGAGACCTTGCTTTCCTGGCTTGAGGCCAGTATGTGCTCAACCCTGGGGTATGATCATGGAGCCATTGTTAGATAAGATGGAGAAGATGCCCTTACTCCCTGACACGGGGCCTCTGTGGGAGTTGAAGCTTTGGTGTGTCTGCAACTGCAGCACTGGTTAGCAGATGTGTCTTTCTGAACAGGCCAGCCTCTCTTGAGGAAGCAACTTCTTCCAATAATTTATTCTTGCTTTTTTCCAAGGAACTTTTTAACTATTATGAAAGCCTTTTCTTGGGTAGACAAGAGACATCCTCCTACCCTTCAAGGGAATAAAACCAAACAAACCAGCAGTGTGCTTCAGTGAAGCCTGGCAGTCAGGACAGCAAGCACAGAGGGCAATATGGCTTGTCTTGGGTCTCCCAACACAAGGAAGCTCTTGTTCGTGACTTGTATGAAAGAAGATAAGTGAAAACATGAAAAGTGACGGACTTTAAACTGCCAAGGCCAAACTTGTGTTGGGAAAGGTCAAATGGTGATAAGTAGTTTTGGTCACTGGATTTATCCTTTATAAGGAAAAAGAAAAAATATCATGAAAAGTGAAGTTTTAATATTTAAACACAGAGAAAATATTGTCCAATCACTTCCCGCAGATCCATGGGAGAGAGAAATTTTAATTTATATTTTGTTTCAAATCTGCTGCTAGGGATTTCTGTGCACATAACTTGAATGTGAATATGGCTCTGCATCTGTAAAGGAGAGTAAGGAAAGTTTGCTTCTTCCATTTAAATGGTATTTAATTGGAAACTCTCTAGGGGGTTAATAGCTGCTGTGATTTTGGTTTCCCAGGTCTGGTGGAAATCACTTCTCAGGTTTTCAATCTCCCAAGCCTCTTTGTGAATGCTGAGCCCTTCATACTGTCACTCTAAACATGAAGAGCAAGCAGAGAGGAATTCCTTGGGAATTTTGAGAAGTCTCTATGCTGTTTCTGTGCATTCATGTGTTCAAATATAGACATTTTCTTTGCAAGACTAGTTGTTCAGCCATTACTATGGTTATGTGCTCTTTTGTTCAGTATCTGAAACCTTAGAGTTTGAGAAAAGAAAAAAAGAAACCCCTTATTTACTTAAGTGAGTCTGACTTCAGCTTTCAGAATTCACTCTTTAGCTACCTGCCTTGGACAATGGAAATGTCAAAACGTGGCATTTTAGGATGAGATTGTCACAGGTGTGCTTCTGATTTGGAAGACAACTAATGAGGAGTACAACTGAATGAAAACAAACTTTCCTCTATGATTAAGCCACTGAAAGAGGACTTTGAGTCTGGTCAAAGTTCTGCAGCTCTTTTGAAATGTGGGTATCAGGTTTTCTGCATATTGCTTTTCTAGAAAGAAAGAAGGAAACTCTTTCCTACTGCTATTCTGGAGCTCAGTGGGTTTAGGCCTTTGTAGTAGTGGCTGTTCTCCACCAAACCTTTTAAGACTGGTGAGGGAAGGCTTCAGTGTGGTAAATACAGTGTGGAGCCAGAGAGCCAGATGCTATGAGTCCTGAAGCCTCAGCTTGTCAGCTTCTAATTTTAGAAGAAGTAATGTGGCATTATTCTTCACTGTATAAAAATAGATTAACTCCTCTTTTCAGAGCAGGTAATTCACTTTACTTCAGAGAAATAATGACATGTCATTTCCCCCACCCACTCTATTATTTAGGGAGATGTGTATATGCATCACTCAACCCTTTGATCACAAGTAGCTAATTCTTCTGCTTTATTTAGGTCACAGTAAGCTTCAGCTTTTTCTTTTCTTCCTTGTAGGGTGACTTCAAAAACACCCAGATCTTGGCTCTGGAGCCTGAGGAAAAAAATGCTCTTTACTTTTCCCTCCTGCTTCTATAATTGGACTTGAATGTAGGTATTTGTAGGCATTGAGAGACATTTCACTTGTGCTGCTTTTTCCATTCTGGAGTTGATTAAGACCTAGAATATGCCAAATGTTTTCTGAGAGGTCTCTGGGACACGTTCCTTCACTGTACAGAGACTCTCACATTGCTCCAGAGTGGCAGTCCCATGTAGACTTCGATGGTTGGACCCTCCAAAGCACTGCAGAACTGCCCTTTGCTGAAGGCACACCTGGGAGAAAGCAGCAACAGAAAAGCCATGGCCTGACCTCTGGCTCAGTATGAGTCCCTCACTGACACATAGCAGTGGAAGGAGGTCTGTAGGTCTGCCTGCAAGCTGCCTTTTCAGAAAGGAAAACAGCTTGCACATTCAAGCTCTGCTGGGTGTCCGCTTTGGCTCCAGCTTACTGTTCTGCTCTCTAATGGCAAAATACCAGTGAGGAAAGCACCACCCTGTGCCTGTATTGAAGGCTGCCCTCAAAACCAGGGGAGCAGAAGGAAGGCAGAGGTCTGTGAATTCTCTGGCTTTGCTGGCCAGAGTCAGAAATACTGTTAGTCCTCTTGTGTGAAGTAGAAACTACTTCTTCATTGGTAAAATGAAATGTTCTCACTTTTCTGGCTTGCCAGACTCACTGCTAATAGGTTGCTCTGAAATGCATTTCCAAAAAAAGTAGATCCCCTATACAGGGGAAGAAGATCTGACTTTCTAGAACAATGAAGGTCCTATGTACTTCACCTGTTTATCGTCTTCAGCAGATGGTTGTTCATGTGGGGAAAACAAATGTGTTAGCATACTCACTCCTGAGCAGGATAACCTCATCCTACCTCACAAACGTTTGCCCTGTTCTGGCAAAGAATGCCGTTCAAGCCCATGCTCCATCTGTTTATTTGCTGTATTCAAATAATTAGGTTATTTTGGCTCTTAGGAAAAGAGGAAAAATAAGCTCTCTGCTCCATTTGGAAGTAGACTGCAATGAAGTGGTGAAATGGAGGTGAAACTTGGGGGTGGGGTTAGGTCCTGCTTCTCTCTGACACTGTAATTCTCTGAACTGATGTTCCTGAAAGCTTCTCTTTTTAAAGCAAAGAGGGAGGATAGGGCAATTCTGCTTACAGTCTTCTCATGAAGATTTCTTGCTGGTGAGACCAAGGCACACATGTTAAGGTATCTGTGTGATACCAAATGTAAGAGACTACTCTAGGGTGAACCAAAACTCTCTCTAGGCTCCACTGACTGCAGTGACTCTTTACTAACTAGCTTGATAGCAGAGTGCTTCATGTAGGCATATTAATATAGGTCTCTCATAATTTGGTAAAATGCCTATGACTAAAAGTGTGATACACTGACACTGTGAGAAGGCTGTGGCCCACTTTGAGTTTTGGTCATTGGATGAGGAGTTAACAGATTAGGATTGACAAACCCCAATGCTGTGAAAAGGAAGTTCCATAAAAATATCCATAGATTAAGTGATTTTTATTTCAATTGTTTGGGGCTGAGGTTTCCAGGTTTAACCAGCATGGATCTCTGGCTCTGTCTGTCCTGTAAGACAATGCACATCAGACCTCTAGCACAGCAAATTCTGCACCAGGGCTGTTGTGCCTTCCTGTGTCTGAGTGTAGCTCAGCTCTAGTGTGGTGAATGCATGCTGTGCTTAAGAAAAGCCAGTCCCAGAACTAACTGAGATCATACACTTAAGCTTTCCCATAACAAATCTGTCTAGAGCTCATGGATCAGAAGCTGGGGGTTAAGTTAAAGAGCTTACTTCGGCTTTTCCCTTCCAGAGAATCTTGGAGCTCAGCTCCAGTCTGAAGAGGACAAGACAAGTCTGGACCCAAGAATAGCTTTGAACCCATTAATGGGAAATGCAGATGCTTATTTGTGCATTGCCATGCATGTGACATATGTGTCAGGATACAT